TTTTGGCCGCGTCCGCGCCAAAGTGCAGCAGAGACTTGATCACGCCCAGCTTGAGATTCGCCACGGCCCATTGAAGCGGTGTCCTGCCCAAATTGTCGCGTGCGTCGATCCGCAACGGACGATCCTCGTTGTCGCGCCTCACCCGGCACAACATCTCGGCCGCGTTGTAATCGCTCCGGAGATTCTTGCAGACGACGTGCAGCGGAGTCGATCCCTCCGCGTTGGCCACGTTCGGATCGGCGCCACGTCTCAGCAGCAGCTCGGCCGCCTCGTTGTTGGTGTGTTCCAGGGCCAAGTGCAACGGCGTGTTGCCCGACTTGTCTCGGGCGTCGAGTCGCACGCTCAGTCCGAGCTCGTCGATGCTCTCGATCACCATATGCATCAATTCGCGAGCGACATCTTGTCCTCTCTTGCAGATCATATGCAGCGAAGTCAATCCGTCCGCGTCGGCTTGATTAACATCGGCGCCGTGTTTCAGCAGCAATTGTATCATTGTTTCTTTTTCGCGGTAGCTCAGAGCCACGTGATAAGGCGCCCGGCCTATCATGTCCAGCGGGCCCACGGGCAACGGCTGATATTTATTCGGATCGATCGTGAATATCTTCAGCAAATGAAGATGGCGATATCCCTGGCAAATCATCTGCAGAGCCGTCAGTCCGTCCTGATTGAGCGAGTTCGCGTCGGCGCCTCGTCTCAGCAGCGATGCCATCACGTCCTCGTATCCCCAGGCCAGCGCCAGATGCAGCGGCGGATCGACGATCGATTTCGTAGCCAGGCGGCAATCGGGATCGTGGCCGGCGTCGAGGAATTTCTCGACGACTTCGGCGAAGCCGTACTCGCAGGCCGCGTGAAAATGCGTATAACCCCACTCGTCGACGTAATCGACGTCGTACCTGTCGTACGCTTTGAAGAGCTCGGCGATCGCCGTGTGATTCATCGGGCTGTGGTATCTGGCCGCGCGATGTATCGCCGTGGTGCGACGCTGCACTGGCTCGTTGCCGTTTTCTCCGTCCATCGCGGGCGTGTCCTTGTAGCCGGTCGCGAGCGCAAACTTAAGAAATCGCTGTCCTCGGTGGTGGTGTTGGAAGCCGCTCATAAAATCAACCGAGTCGGAGAGAAGTTGCTCGATTTCGCGCGGGCTAAAGATGTCTCGGAGCTCGGGAAGCTGTTCGTTCCAATCGCTGATCACGGGATAGAGGTTATAGAGCAGACGATAACGCTCCTCCTCGTTGCTCCAATCGACCTGTTCTTTCAGGCTCGACAATGCTTTCAATTTGTTTCGGATGGAATCGCGGTTGTCGGCGCACTCGAACGACAATTCGCGCACCAACTATAGACGCACAGTCACTTGTATTTCGAAGGTGTGTTTTGTTTCTTTCGCGAGAATTCACTTTCTGCGTAGATGCGACCTTCCTCTGTTTTAGTTAAAATAATGACAACATCTGCACGGCGCAAAACTGTGCTCTGACTTATACAATTTTTTCGACTTTACGACTTGCAGATTTGCGAATAAAGGAACACGCCATCTAGCGGTGGCCGCTTGAAGCGATATCATCGTATGTTCAAGGTGGTTCCAGAGTCCAGCACCCCTAGAGCGTTGTATCGCACGAGCAAGTTGATTTTTTGTATAAATTTTTTTTTATTTATAGTGCCATGATCGTATTTAAGCATTTAAGATTAACGCACTATAGAAATAAAAAGAAATAAAGGCATATATTAATTGATTTGTTACACATTATCATCACGATTTAGCAATCCACTTTAGGTAATTATTCGCTAATCATTTCGAAGATAATTTGTTATTTTATCGATTCAAACGCAAATAATTGATGCAAAGCATAATTTCATCCGAGAGTAATTTACAATATTGTGGCGTATTTCCCGAGGTTAATTCCTCTGTTTTTACTCGGAGCGAGACGTTGATAAAAAGTAAAAATTTACAAGAGACATCCGAAGATTCGTCGACCCAACAACACGCCACTGCGGCACAAGTAATAAGCAGGTCGAGCCCGTCTTAATTTAACTTTTGCAATTAATTAAAAAATCTTTTTATCTAATATAATATTCAAGAAGATTCAACTCAAAAATAATTTCAAAACTTCGACTGATAATTCTGCTCCGATTGATAAACGGCCGAAATTGAATAAAAAAGAAAACGATCTTGACCAAAACAAAGCAGGTTCATCTTCGAATCATATTGCTGGGCGCAACCGTACAGACTCAATCCGCGATTCTGATTCAGATAAGGAAAAATCAGGATTGCCTATAGCTAAGGCGTCTATTGTTAAGCACAACCGAATGGACTCGACTAGTGATTCTGATTCAGGCGAGAAAAAGACAGCATTTTCTATAGCTAAGGTGTCTCATACTCAATTCAAATAATTAACTTATACTTCTATCATTTTAAAAAATACTTCTCCATAAAAATTTTCATTAATTTTGACAATAAATTAATAGAGACCAAAGAAAAGCGATGATTAACACAAAAATAACGATCAAGATGATGGTCGCGATGCAGAGGGCTTATGGACATCGAAGCATAAAAATGCTGATGAGAAGAATCATGTAAGATCATCGTTTCTATTTTCGCTCAACTTTGAATGAATTTTTTAGATGAGATCAAAACTTATGTAATATGAGTATTGCAACGATATAGTTTTGTTACAAGCGCGTGGTTGATTCAACCAATTTTTTGCGATTTTTTTCGTGTAAAACTGTATCGTTAATATCAATTATTGAGCGAAAATACGGACAGTGACCCTAAGCTGAAATTTTTCACACAGAAACGGGAATCGTACAGTACTCTTATAATATAAAATTTTCATTATTATCCACAGATTGATGAACTTGTAAATGGCGATAATATTTTCGTGAGTTTGTATCAGCTGGCCGATATAAAAGGAAGCGTTGTACGACATACGATACTGGCAAGAAGTTTAATGGACTGTGTTTTTACCGATGAAGCTCTCAGTAGTTTTTCACTTGCTCGCGGTCCAGCAAATAATAAAAAAAGTACCGAAAAAGATGTTAGACCAAGACCAAGTCTGCACGCAAAAGGTGTTGACACCATTTTAAGTAAGACAATCATTTTTATACGTGTATTTTTTACCAACAATTTGTAATTTGTAAGCTTATCTATCAGTAAATAAAGTAAGTGCAATAAGTGCATGCCGGGTCCCTAAATCGCGATTCTCGATATGAGGAGGAGTGTGGAACAACGCTGCTCTCGTCTGCCACACTTGCCATTCGGAGCGCGACACGCGCTCCTCGATCCTCGATATAATTTGATCCAGAGAGACAGAGATATTTAACTCCTTCATGATGATCATGGTGCTCGCTTGGTTTTTGGTCCAAGAAAGCGCATGAAAATTTTCACGACGACAAAAAAAGTCGTAGAGAGTTGTCCAAGAGCTCCCAAAATACTCTATTTTTTTCCTCTATGGACAAGAGATCCACGGTGAAAAGCTGAAAAGTGCTGCCTAAATGGAGCAAGTGCGCTCATACAGACGAGACTTGGACGAGATGTAGTGCAGTTGCCTCCATCGCCAAGCATCATTACGTATGCTGGAGTTAAAAAGAGAAAGAGAGAGTGTAAAGTAGGAAAGAAAGAGTCGCGTTCTGCTGCTTAGATTGCACTAACCGGCTGCATAGTGCACACTCACTCGTGTATGTGTGTGTCTGTGTGCGAGCTGCATTCAACCGCACTCTACCTATACATTTAGGATGAGATGCATGGCAGCGGCAGCAGCAGCGACTCGGTCACAGACACACACAGCATATATGCATATAGAGCACGACTCATTATCTCGATATATAGCTTGTGCGCGCGTGTACATGTGTGTGTGTAGAGCTGCAGCGAACGCGCACGGCGCATGATATAATCGGTATGGCTATATAACCGAGAAACTTTGAGAGACGGAGATTGACGAAGAACTATCACGAGAGCTCGAGCTGGTATATGGGGAGAATCGCGATATGAGCCCCAGTGACGCGCGCAAGTCAGCAGAATAGTAAAATTTTTTTCGATTTTAAGCCCTCTTTGACCCCCGCAGTCAAATCGCAAGTTCTTTCGATTTCGATCCTCAGAAAAGCTCCAAACTTGGAGGCAAAAAAGATAAAGCGTGTTTTACCTTCAAGTCCGTTTTTTGAGATTGTGGAGGTAGTTTTTCATTTTTCCTAACCACTACAAAGGTGAGGAAAAAACACGTCGAAATTACTTATCAATATATTCATTTCTAGAAGAATCACTCCGTACAGCGAGTCGAAAACTGCGCGATTAGGCTGCTTTGCTCACTTCCCCATACACATCATCTGTATATCTCTCTCTCTCTATTAACTGCCTATGTAATACAGCTTTCCGCGGCTTTTTTTTTCGTTTCGTTTCCATCTCATTCGTAATACGAAACTACTTTATTACGGTTATAGCTGATGATGGCATTTTGCGGCTCATTAAGCGCCGACACACGTATATAATACGCCAGCTATACTATATCGATCCTATACTTCTACAAAAGACAATAAATATGAACCTATAGACTTTTAATTGTACGTACATAATATACGTTCGCTCGAAAGCTTCGAAAATATCATGTGACTTTGTCGAAGCTCGGCACCGGCACAGCTCGGTCTGCTGTTGCTCTGCATTATGACAACTTGCGCACGGCGCGCAAATTTTCATACCTACGCTTAACGAACTTATACGCCACTTGTGAGCTTTTAAATATGGCACTTGTGTTATAATTTGCTCGTCCGATAATCGTCATTGATTTTGCTGTTGCTGTTGTATTTTGTTAGCTTCTCTTAAACATGTTTATTCAATAGCTCGGGATTCAATAGCTTGTATACAAGCGATCAGTTTGCGTGTAAATAGACGCATGTGTGGATGTATTTTTACGTATTATATACCTCTACACGTGAGTGGCTATACGTTTATGTGCAGACGTGCTTTAAAAATCATATATGCAGGAAATTAACAAAAAACAGTAATGTTTTGTACTCACGTTGTCGCAACGCTGAGATCGCTGACAGTGCAGCGCACGGCCTGATGTGATCCGCACCCAATTGAACACACACGCACACGACGCTATTTAACGTGTATTATGATACACACAGACACAGACGAAGGCTCAAGTTTTTTCAATTATATTTATGTGAATAATATACGCGGTAGTAGCTTCTGCTTCGACGAAGAGTCAATCGGAGCAACACACTCGCATGCACGAAACACTACTATACGATCGCACCGAACTATATATGCACCGACGTACACACGTTTTTAATATCGTATACGAGAAACACAACACAGCACTCAACGATACACAATAATATAAATTACGAAATGCGAATGTAATTTTTGCGCGCACCACCACCACCACCACCAGCAACACAGACACACTTGTAAAGGTCTTGCGAGCGCTGCTGGCAGATAATGTCGCAATTACCGCTGCTGTCGATATAATATTATTATCCGAGAGCTCTCTATTGCAAACTTATATCTTTCTCGCTCTCTCTCTCTCTCTCTCTTGCTCTCCAAAGTGTCAACTGTACTGGAGTAGTGGTATAATCTGCTATATATGTAGGCTGTATACAGCAGTCAAGACTTATGTGCCGAGTGCGATTCGTGCGCGATACAGGATCGGAGCACCGGGTAATAAGTGTATTATAATACTTTTACGTACACATACACACGCGGAGACGCATGCACAGTTGGATTTGCAGGACGAGGATAACGTCGAGCTAGAGCGGTCTGAGCGCGGTACATAATCGATAGACCCACTGTACACGGGCTCTGTGTGTGTTTACACACGTACACACGCACACACTCGCGCGTACACGAACGCCCGGTGAAGTTTGATGTAACAACACACTGTGGCCCGAGCTCCTTTGCGGTCGTCGGTGCCGCTACTGCTGGTATTAGAATTTTCGATTTGGTATTAGAGAATCGTACATGTAAATGCTCGATCTCGTGGGTCGCTTTTTTTATAATACGTCGATCTTGCGATTCAGTCGGTCGTCGTAAACACTGCGGGCGCCATGCTGCCTTATATATACCGTAAGCAGCAGCAGCAGTCAAAGCAGAGCACAAACTCGCGACTCCAGCTCTCGCGTGCACGCAGCAGCCGAGCCTCTGTTGCTGCTGTTTGCCTGTCGAGGGGCACCTGTCAATACACACATGTGTGTGCGTGTATGTGCACTTGTGTGAATGTGTCAGTTCGTGCTGTATATTTACAGTATACAATATATAGCTTTGCTGGGTGCCGAGCGGCGTACGCGTGCGGCGAGCAGTGACATCTCTGGGATGCCGTGGCAACTGTTTGACGCACACACACACCGGTGTCTGCTGCTGCATTATTATTATTTTTAAAATAAATACTTTTGACATCATATGTCAAAATAATACTTACAATGTTGATATCATAAGTCAAAATAACACAAGTAAGAGATTATTCTTTTTAATTTTATCTGGGTAATGAAAGTTGAAAGATGTTAGAAATTACTGCTGCATTTTAGGCAGAAACATTTTGCAATGGTTCAAAAAAACAAAACAAAATATAACAAAGTTACCTATGCTTACAACATTTTAATACATGTTCATAATGTTTTCATAGATTTAATAGGATTTTATTACTTTCAGCGCTACAATTGGCAATGGAGGTTCCTTCATCATCTTTCAACGAACAGAGTACAGTCATCATTTACTTCTCATGAGGCACTGGTATGTTTTGATCACAGAAATGATGATTTTACTTCGAATCCATTGTACTTCAAAAAAAAACTATAATTTTTAGTCACGTACCCAACGCCAGACTAAGGGGACATATGCCAATCCATTGTTTATAAATAAGTATTCAAGTAACATTATCAGTGTATGGATTATTTATTTAATACAAATTTAAAGAAAGTTGAATAAGCATCGCAGCTTCAAGATGTGTCTATAATTTGCTGTACCATCAGTACTTGTTAAATGACGACTTTTCAAACTTTATGCAAATTTCATATTATCTGATAAATAATTTATGTTAATTCATTAATGGTACATTTTTACGATTCATTCTAAACTACATTAAATGCACAATAACATTTGTTAACAGGAAATTCGTATTCCAGCTCATCGCTCGCGCTGTATAACTGACTGTTGAAATTTGAATGAAACTCCGTAGTGAGCGTGCGCATCGGATCCTTGCCCATTCGTCGTTATAAACTTTTCAAAAGGCATCACGTCACGACTCGCTACTCGCCCGTTCATGCTGTGTAGCCGGCCGCGTATATGATTCGTGTACACATAAAATAGTGATAGCGTGGGTGTGAAACTGTGCGTTGTCAAGCATTTCAAAATCAGTACTTGTGCGAACTGTGTTGAATAATTTGTTTACTGCAAGGATGAAAGTCAAGAAGAGCGGAGAGAAGAGCAAATCCGCTGTGCTCAAAACGGTGTCTAGGATCATAATAAAGGTATGTAACTCAGAGAGTTGAAACCAATTAAGTTTTAATGCTTGTCAACTGATGTTTTGTTTGTAAATAATTTGATTTGTTTTAACATTGGTGCTAATATAAATAATGTTTTTATTTTTATGGTATAATCTACTTTATTTTAAAATCTGGGATTGTTTTAATTCGTTTTGTTTTTTTGACTTTTCAGAAAAAAAATAAGGCAGTAAAAAACAATGACGAAGAAGAGTTAGTTGAAAAAACTGAAGAGACAGAAGTAAAACCATATACTAGGGGTCTCATTTATATTGGCCACTTACCTCATGGGTTCTTCGAGGAAGAAATGAGGGATTATTTTAGTCAGTTTGGAATTGTCACAAGAGTGCGAATCGCTAGATCTAAGAAGGTATAAAAGATCATTATTTATTACTTATTAACAATACTTATGCTGTATTTTTATTATGAAAATGGAACTAATTGAATGATACTCGTTGTTTTATAGACTGGGAAGTCGAAAGGATATGGCTATATTGAATTTCAAGATCCAGCAGTGGCAGAAGTTACTGCTAAAACAATGAATGGTTATTATATGTGTGGCCGGAATTTAAAAGGTAAATGTGAAAAAATATGAAACGATAAATCATTTATTGTACAGTAACTCATCAATGTTTGTTTTAATATTTCCAGCCAGATATATTCCGAGTGAGAATGTTCACAAAGGCTTTTTTAGTGGCAAAGCATGGTCAGAAACATTTCACCCTAAAATAAATCATAGGGTGAAAGCCTTGAAGAAACAAGACTTACCTCAATCAGAGGAAAAATATAAAAAAAATATGAAAAGGAAAATGGGACAGTTGTCTGCAATCGAAGAGAAACTAAAAAAAGCAGGTGTAAAAATTTCATTAAAAAATGTTGTGGTTCATAAACCCCTATAGTTTAGTATTGTTCTAGTTATTACTCAAGCATTAAGAAATGAATAGTTTTATGTAAATATATTAAAAGATAATACAAATAATATTTTTGAAGTATATAATGCAAAAAATGTTTTATAAAACAGTTAAATGTTATAAATCAATTGTATCCAAGTTAGTCAGGTCTTAGACTTGATAGCTAAATGTATTAAGATTATAATGTTTTTAATTCTGTTATTGTCTTTGATAACTTGTTGAAAAACATAATTGTAAAATAAATTACTTTTAAATTACCTACTAAGAAATATTTTGACTCTTATGAAAGTTTATACTGAATAAGAATAAATTAAAGACAAATCTAACATATATCATTTCAGCGTTTTTACTACTCAAATTTATTTATGAATTAGTTCCACTACTTAAGAACTTCCAATATAGTAATCAATAATTAATTCAACAAGTAGTATCATCTTTAGGATGCATAAAGAAATTGGTTTGAGAAAGATTAAAAATTGCAAGATTATTGTTGCATCAAACACCTGAATGTATTAAATATCTGATCATTGTATTTAATGATTAACTGGAGACCGGTGGCTTATTCGAACATTTGATACTAGTAGTGTTGAGTAAATAATGTAAACTTAAAATTGTTTGTGTACATAAATGTAAATATATAGATTTTTATTTTCTCAAATTAATTTTTACTTATAAACTATTTATTTACAACTAAACTTTAGTTTTATAAATGATGAAGAATAAATTAATTTAATTAATTTATGAGTTTTACTCTAGTTACTTAAAATATAATTTCTTCTGACTCATTTTGTGAAGTTGGAGATGGTATTGCACTGTCATCTTCTTCTAGCTTTAATTCCATCTCCAACTCACTCTCTTGACTTAGAACTTGTATTTCTCTAATACTATTGTTGTCACTTCTCAACCAGTGTGAGGAAATTTCAGTTTTGAATTTCTTCTTTTGCAGCGGTTCTTCAGTTCTACTTAAACTTCTTTTTGGATTAACTTGTACCACTTTTTCTTCAGAATCACTATCAGTTTCTTGATTGTAAATTTCTTCTTTCAAAGTTTCTTTAATTACACTATATTTTTTCTTTTTATTTATCAATGCTATCGTTTTTTTGTAAATGTCTAGTTCCATATCATTTTTTATTTTGGTCAAGCACTCCAATTGCATTCTTAATTTTTCGTTATTAATGCTGAGAGCTTTTGACGACTCTTCTAAATTTTTAAATTTTTGGTTTATCACAGAATAACTATTCACTAGGCACAAAGTAAAGCTTTGCATTAAATCTTTATAATTTTCTTCTTTTGTAATTAAAATTTTTCCTAATATAACTTTCTTCTTCCATATAAATTCACTTTTTCTTAATAAAAATTGTGTATCAGTTCTTTGGCCACTAAATATATTTTTACACTCGGACACGTATTCATCAAGCTGTACGTTGAGCGAATTGGCATACCTTTCCAAATTTTTATACAAAACCTGAAAGCACAAAAAGTATGCAATTAATCTCACGAAATCGGCAGAACAAGGCAGAAAAAGGCTTGCATCATTTCATCTTTACCTCTCCTCTGAAAGCCGACGTGTCGTCGCCTAGTATCACCAAAATCTCCATAGATTTTTCGTGGAACTTGCAGCAAACGTACGCGTCTTCCATCGATGCGGTGGCGTCGACGGCGACGTTCGTTCGGCAGCTTGTCATTTCCATGATGATCGGCGAGCTTTTCTTTCAAAGTTTGTACACATATACAGCAGGAGCTCCGAAATGTATATGTACGTGTATCGCGTCAACTGCACGTAATCCGTGCGCGAGAAGGAGTCATCGCATGACGTTTAAAGCCAGTCGCGATAAGCATGATGATGTCGAGATAGTGTATGCGTGCAAGTCACAACTCGCAGAAACGACGTTTAAATCCCCTTCCGTATGTGTACACGGCTTGCGTGCGGCGTCTGCAGCTGCTGCTGCTGCTCCGCCGCTGCACATAAACATAAACAAGACGCGCTTAAAAAAAGTCGGATGTCGTTTCTCGACTTCGAGACTCCTAGTATATTATACAAGCATAAAATCCTCCGATTTCTATGATTCAGTTTTGACAGGTCTCGAAGAGAAAGTCCGAGTGAATCGATCGTATATTTAGTTCGGAGCACGTTTTTGACAGTTGCGGTTAAGCATATAGGCAGCGGCGGCGGCGACGCGTCTTCCTCGACGCATGCGGCTGATTTTGCAAAAGCGAGACGAGCCGCTGCATCGCATCACGCGCGAGCATGTGCGGCGCGAATCTCCGAGTTAGCCCACATTTGGATGCGGAAAATTTATATATATATATCTGTAACAACACGCGCTGCTGGTCACAAGCTCTCTAGCAGTAGATGTTCTATTAAATTTGCGTGAAGCTGCACACACACACACGCGCGCGCACAGACACAGACGATCGTTCGAGCCAACGAACCTCTCTCGATACATTATATACAACGTATCATCGCCACGCTTTCTGCCCGCGCGCGCGCCTCCGCCTCGCATGTCCGAGTGTATGTGCTGTTTCTTTGCCGCACGTACAATTTTTTAATGCCCCCGTATAGAGTGCTATATACACAGTCAAGTGTGTTGTTCAAACGATAAGTTGCATCTGCGCGTGTATATATATACAGAGACGAGAGAGAACCTCAACGTTTATATATATATACTGCAACACATTCATAGTAATAGTAAAGCAGTAGTTGTACGCCTCGCGCCACCGGGAGACGACGACGACGTTTTGTGATTGATTCTTGGGTCTCGTCGGTTTGCAACACGGAGTGCGTGTAATTCTCTCGCGTTCGCTGCCTTATATTTATTACCTACTTTTTTACCAAAAAGAAAAAAAAAATAAATAAATAAATAAACAAACATAAACATAGAAGATGAACGACAATGCCGAGGAATCGCCTAGAGTGCCGTCCGACGAGGACGTCCAAGCTGCCGAGAAATTCAAAGAAAAGGCCAACGAGTTTTTTAAAGGTATATATAATGTGTGTGAATAATGTAATAAGGTTACGTCAACCCGACGAACGGGGACGATTCGCTGCTTCTCTTTTGCTTTTTTTGCCTCTCTCTCTCTCGTTTTTGAATGCGTGGTTGACGCGATGTTGAGTTTTCTTTTCGCCGAAAATTTGCCGTGCCTCGGCGATTTCGGTGGTGGATGGATGGGCTTTTCAAACAGGACGCGAGCGCGTGTCCCGCGGTCCGATCACGTGTGTGGCCGAGAGTTTGCATTTGGCGAATTCGCTTATAACCAAAACTCATGGATGAGAGATGCACAAAAGCGTGGCTATAAATCTTTTACTTTATGACGTGCAATTATTGCAAAGCCGATTGTCCTGGTGCTCTTGTATATCGAACGATTGTCTCGTGGGTCGAGAAAAATATGCCTCGTCATTTTGAGTAACTTTTGCTCCACATCAAGTTGTACAATTGCTTGTGTTTTGGACATGATCAATCAATTAAAAAGCCAATAATGATTTTCAGCTCAAAACTATGACGACGCAATATCACTGTACACCAAAGCCATCGAGTTGAATCCCAATGTTGCAATATATTATGGCAATAGGAGTTTTGCGTACCTCAGGACAGAATGCTTTGGTTACGCATTGTCAGACGCCACCAAAGCCATTGAACTGGATAGGAATTATATCAAGGGATACTATCGAAGAGCGGCTGCAAATATGTCTCTTGGGAAATTCAAAATTGCCTTAAAAGATTATGAAACTGTTATGAAAGTCCGCCCAAAAGATCAAGATGCCAAAATGAAGTATACAGAGTGCAATAAAATTGTTAAAAAAATTGCATTCGAAAAGGCTATTGCTGTTGAAGAGAATAAAAAGAGCATAGCGGATACCATTAATTTGGATATCATGTGTAAGTATTTTCAAATCTTGATACTATCAATTGTCTTGTTTAATTTTATTAATGACACACTTCTTGTCGGTGGCAGCAATTGAAGATGAATACACAGGACCAAAACTAGAAGATGATAAAGTTACTCTGAAATTTATGAAGGATCTTTTAGAATGGTACAAAGATCAAAAGAAATTACACCGAAAGTATGCTTACAAAATTCTAATAGATGTCAAAGCATTATTAATGACGCTTCCCAGCTTGGTTGATATTACAATTGGAGATACAGACAAATTCACAGTTTGTGGTGATATTCATGGTCAATACTATGATTTAATTAATATCTTTGAAAAAAATGGACTGCCATCTGAAACAAATCCTTACGTATCCTTTTATTCATGGAAAATTAAGAATATCTTGATTATAATAGTATTAAGTTCCATATAAATCATGTAGTGTTTTCCTTAATGTTTATTATAGTTGTTTAATGGAGACTTTGTTGACAGAGGATCCTTTTCTGTTGAATGTGTATTCACATTATTTGGATTCAAATTATTATATCCTAATCATTTCTTCATGTCAAGAGGTATGGATTGTCTAATTTACCATTTAATTCATCAAAGTTTAATACAATTTGGAGTCATCTTTTATTTTTTTATTTTTTAGGAAATCATGAATCTATAACAATGAACCAAATATATGGATTTGAAGGTGAAGTTAAAGCTAAATATACAGCTCAAATGGCTGATTTGTTTACTGAAGTTTATAATTGGTTGCCATTGGCTCACTGCCTTAATAATAGAGTCATGGTATGTAAATTTTATGTGTACAATTGATAAGTGAACATTTATTTAAAAATACTATTTTTGTAGGTGACACATGGAGGACTATTTTCCAGAGATGATGTAACGTTAGATGAAATTCGTAAAATTGATAGAAACAGACAACCTCCAGAAGATGGCCTTATGTGTGAATTACTCTGGTCCGATCCACAGCCTCAAGACGGAAGAGCTCCAAGTAAGCGTGGAATAGGTGTTCAATTTGGTCCTGATGTTACCTCCAAGTTTTTAGAATTGAATAATTTAGAATATCTTGTTAGAAGTCATGAGGTTAAACAAAATGGATATGAAATAGCACATGATGGAAAATGCATAACAGTATTTTCAGCTCCAAACTATTGGTAAGATATTTAAAAATTGTTAATTTTCTTTGTCATTTCATGTTACATTTTTATTTTCAGTGATCAAATTGGCAACAAAGGTGCCTTTATCACTCTAAATGGAAAGGATATGATACCAAATTTCACTGTTTATGAAGCAGTGGTATGTATTAATTATAAAAATATTAATTATATTTTGATTCTTTTTACACATTGTACTTATCAAAAACGATATTTTTTAGCCACATCCCAACGTCAGACCAATGGCTTATGCCAATCCATTGTTAAAAGCCATGTCTTAAAAATTCATATGATTTGCCGACACAGATGAACAAGCAATCGAGTAACACAGTCAATGTGTGAATTATATATTTGATATCAATTCATGAAAAAGTGTAAAAAGCTTGTATTCTCTGAAGCAAATAAGTTATACTCCTTTTAAACGAAGCAGCGATACATAAGGACACTGCATGATATTAATATTTGTGTAAGCAACCAGCTTGTTTTTTGTTATTGGTAATTTACCACTTTGCTTGTAAAAATGTTTCTTTATGAAGTTTGAAAACTTGATGAAAATTTCATTTTAATCATGAATTTGTTTGACTAATTTATTTAGTTCTATTACATAGCAATACAATTTGTACGTTATCAAAGAAAACAAGTTTTATAGCAAATTAAATTTTTAAAATTTACCATTAGTAAATAACTGAAATTGAATTTGTGATGCTTCAAGTATTTAAAAAACTTGTTACATTTTTTGTATGTTATAAAGTAATAAAAAAAAAGAAAAAGAACAATAAAACGAGTTTTGTAAATGTACTAAATGTAAATAAAATTTCTGGAGAAATTTGTAGATAGGCTGCCAATGAATAAATCCACACACAGTTCAAATTTCAATACGATTGATTTCAAAAACTTTATTTCCTAAAAAGTTCACATTCATTTTGAGAAGAGAATCAAAGTATACGATTACGACTTTTGAGTTTTGAATGAATGTCGAATGAATTATGAAACTCTCGTAGAGGGCGCGCGCATGCGCATCGGATCTTTGCTCAATCTCTAACCTATGTTTTAAACGGCACGTCTGGAAGGCCGCATGGTATAGCATAAGCTTATCGTGCAGTGAGAAATTGTATACATTCTAAATTTTAAAATTATTAATCTTGTGAATTTTGAATATTTTGTTCAATAAAACTTGAAACAATGAAGGTCAAAAAGAGCGGAGAGAAAGCACAATCAACTGTGCTCAAAACAGTATCCAAAATGATAATGGTATGTAAATCAAATTATAATTCAAATTATAACCTGCAATTGCAATGCTTGTCAAATTATTATGTTTCATTTGTGTATAAATTTAATATGTTGTCACAATGATGCTGATATAAATAACGTTTTTATTTCTATGCTAATTTTTGTTTACCTGACACCTAAAATTGAAAATTTGTTTTCGTTTTTTTGCAGAAAAAAGGAAAGCGAGTAAAAAATAGTGAAAAAGAAGAGTTGGTAAAGAAAACGGAAACATCAGAAAAACCTTATACTAGAGGTTTGGTGTACTTAGGTCACATTCCACATGGATTCTTCGAAGAAGAAATGAGAGAATACTTCAAACAATTTGGAGTAGTCACAAGAGTGCGAGTCGCTAGATCCAAAAAGGTATAAAAAATTCATTATTTATTATTTATTAACATGATTATTAATATTTATTAATATGAGAATCAAACCACTTACATGATACTCTTTGTTTTATAGACTGGGAAATCAAAAGGATACGGATATATTGAGTTTTTGGAACCAAAAGTAGCAGAAATTGTTGCAGATACAATGAAATCTCATGTAATATGCAATAGGAATTTGAAAGGTAAATACAAAGAAATATAAAACAATAAATCTTTTAATAATTTGCTAATGCCTGTTTTTATAATTCCAGCGACCTATATTCCTAGCGAGAAAGTCCACAAAGGCTTTTTCTGTGGTAAAGCCTGGTCAGAAACATTCTACCCCAAGTTGACCAACAGATTAAAGGCTTTACAAAGTCAAGAGTCTCCCCAAACAGAGAAGCTATACAAAAAGAGTATGAAGAAAAAAATGTCACAGCTTTCCAAGTTGGAAGAAAAATTGCAAAAAGCTGGAGTGAAAATTTCTTTAAAAGACGTTGTTCACCAACCTTTAGTTTAGTATTGTTAAATTATTAATAATGGACTAATTTCAATAGCAAAAATTGAAATGTACAGTTTTTTATAAATATATTGTAAAATAATAAAATTTAATAAGTTAAGTTAAAGTTTGTGTTGAACAAAATTTTTTTTTCATCAAAACGATATCTTGGAAAATACAAGTCGGACAAATCCAATCATCTTCTCAGGACTTACTGTATATCACCGTTGCACCAGTAAAACTGAATAATAATGTAAATTAGAGCCACATTTGCACTGCATGAATTCCTCGTCGCTCAGTCGCGAGAAATGAATTTTCGCGTCCGTTCCGTCGATACATACATACGATAAAAGATTATTGAAGAAATAATTCTTTCATTGTTTTTAATCTATTGCCAGTTTGAATATAATTGGTTTAAATGAAAGTTGACATTTTTTTTAGGCAGATCGGTATCTCGCGCGCATCGTTTCATTTGTTATTTTTTCTCGACACCTACCGAAATTTTCGGTTATTATTACTCGCCCACGCATAGACAACAATGCAAATCGATAAGAAGTGTTGACACGATCACCACCGCTAATTAACAATAGAACAATTCACTCTTTTATAACATGCAGGAATTCGATTGTTTTTTCTCTCTCTCTCTCCCTTTTTTATCACAATATACTGTAAGCCGAGATAAGTCGGACGCAGATTTAAATCTATCGAGAGCGCGAAAACGATACTGTGGCGTTAATTTATCAATTAATCTATTTGAAAAATCGGCCACGAGTCGAATTTTTTTCTCGCCTTTTTATTCGATCGTGAGCGAGTCGACGCGGCTGCAAAAGACAACGCGTCGCGATATCTCGGCTGCGGTCAGTTTAAGTGTTGCCTCGTCACGACGCAGGCACAACTCGCCACTAACGAAAAAAAAAAATAAATTATCGTAGTAAATTTCTTTTCGTATTCGTGTGAAAATTCAGACACCATGAGGGCTGTTTCGTGTTTGCTGTTGTTAGTGGCCGTTGCTCATCTTTCCGAAGCCAGCATCTACGACATACGAGGTGAGTTTTATCGTCTTTGAATTGTTCGAAATTCTAAAATACTTCACGCTGAAGAAAGAGTCAACTCGATGTGTGCTTCTTCTTTCTTCGTAAATAAAAAAAAGTAAGAAAAAAATCGTGACCGTACCGCACTGGCCACACTGGCACCGAATTAGCCGTCGCACTTTAAAATAGCGCAGCGTGGCTCGTACGCGTCTTATTTTCTCGAGCAGCTAAACTTTCTGGCTTGAACGACATAACGCGTTCGATCTCCTCGAAAAAAAAATAAATAAATAAATAAATAAAAATGAATATAATTAATTCGTTATCGCAGCCGATGTCGAGCGTTACGCCGTCTTGAGGACCATGACGTCGAGGCTCCGAAACTTCCTCGAAGACCTCAAGGGTTACATGAAGACAGGCAACGACAAACTGGGAATCCCCAAGATGGATCCGTTCGAGACCAAGTTCCAGAAGATCGACCTCAAGAAACACGACTTGGTGCTCAAGGGCAACGTCAGCGAGGTCCACGTCGAGGGACTGTCCGACTACAAAGTGTTCGACGTCGATTTCAAGATCGGCCAGAAGAACCTCACCATAGGCATGAAGTGGCCGAGGATCCACGGCACGACCAAGTACTCCGTCGACGCCTCGTACTCCGAGAAGGTGTCCATCTACGGCACGGGTGATGTTTCGTAAGTCGAGTGAGAGAGAGAGAGAGATGAAAAAAAAATTAACAACAAAGACATCATATTTTTTTCGTATGTTTTTCAAAGATTCGATATCCGCGACTTGGAATTCTACTCGCAAATCCAGTTCCAAAAAGCCAAGGACGTCAAAATTATAGGCCTAGTCAAAACTCGCGTCAAATTGGGAGCTCTCAAGGTATCGTATAATATACATATCATTGTCATTCGTTATCGACTCGACGCAACGAATTACTCCAATCCAACATTTATCTTTCAATTCTTCGCCGAGCTCAGCTGAACCTGACCGGACTGTTCAACGACGACGAGCTGTCGGGGCTGGTGAGCGAGGCCGTGTCGGACGTACTGCCCGAGACGATCGACGAGTACCAGGCCGAGACCGTCGCTCTGGTCAACGAATTGCTGATGGAGGAGGGCAACAAGCTGGTCCAGGGCACCACTTGGACAGAAATTATAAACAAACTCGGGTAATCTCACAAGGAACCCCCCCCTGAGTGCTCTTATATGAGATTGTATACGATTTTATTTTTGTAACGACCGAAATTGCGTAAATGGATATGTTTTTGTTACTCGATGTGTATGTTGATTCAATAAATAATTAAAGTATTTTCCAAATGTGTTTTTAAGTAGAGGGTACTGGAGTATAATATAATAAACATACATCACTTTCTGGGTAGTTTTTTTTTGTCGTTTTTTTCTTTTTATTAATGATGAAATAGGTTAACAAAAGCACAATTTAATACAAATGATATTTACAAGTTATACAGTTATACAACTAAAGAAATATTAACCTTTTAAGTACAATTAAGCGCAAGATGATAATATCTCATTGTTTTATATTATTATCCATTGATGTTCCTTAATTATATCGTAGACGTATCCTTAGGCTAAAATTCGAACTATATAGTTTATTTCGCTCTAGTGACTGTACAAATAAAACACAATGAATATTATTAATTCGTTAATTATTGATGTTCGATTGCGGATTACTCGGGTGTGTAGTACTACCGATCTCGAATCAATAATTTGCAAACTTATATCTTACCAAAAAAAAAAAAAAAACACAAACAAACAAACAATCGAAGAATGGCTCGTTTCGTGATTTTAACGTGGATTAGAAAAAAAAAGAATCACCACAACGATCATTTTAAGATAACGTCACAACTTTATTGCTAGTAGATAGAGAAGATAACGATCGAAGTTATTTATTTTTCTCTATATAATGCCGTTATTAGAAGTGATGATTTTTTTTTTCGTTGTTGTTTATCAACTTTGTGCACGCCTCAATTTTTTTTCGCATCAATTGTCCCTCGCAATCTTGGCAATTGCGATATATTTACAGATACACGAAAAAAAAGACGCGATCGTTGACATTATCATAATAATAAACAATGATGATAATTATAATAATGTAACGTCGCTTACGTATAACGTATTACTTGCAGACCCTTTTGGCGTCGAATTATAAACAATAATAATGATAATATATCGTATAATTTGTAAATTCTTAATTATTTCATCGAGTACAATTATATTTTAATAGCGTCGTAATATACACGGGGGTAGAAGCGCGCGAGATTCGTTAATTTTTAATTCTCTTGTTTTTTTTTTAAATTTAAATTATTACAATAATTATGTCGCTCATTTTTCAAAGCTGTATATCATCGTAATGAATTAAGCTACTTGTATTCTCAATTACAAACTATCATTACCTAGTCGGATGATCCGCAATACTCGTCTCCATATTTCGCGTGCAATTTGGTATAAGCTTGTGTCTGTATAGGTGTATTATATAAATGGGGGCTTATATATCATGTCTGTGTGTGTGTGTAAGTGTGTACTGTATACGTGTAATTGAAGCGTAAAACTGTGTGTGTGCGTGTGGGCGTGGGCGTCAATGCCACATAAAATAATCTTACGACGAGTTTTTATGGCTCGTATCGTCACGATTATACGCCACACTCGAATGTGTATCTTCTATATAACGCGCGATAATCGCGCGGGGAAAATCATGCACTCATGCATCGAGTGTGGTGCAAGAGATAATCGTCCTCGGTGTCCATCGCGCGTATATATAAACACATTAGTTACGCGTCTATCCTGTCTCTCTCTATGTGTCTCTCACCCTCGACTCGCGCCGGGTATACAGGGAATAAAAACAATTTTACGCGTCATCGCGCGCGATCGAGTGGAAAATCGTGTTTGCCGATTTTTTTTTTTTCGTGTCGGGGGAGAGAGAAAAGGACACTCGACGATTGTTCGTATTATGCTATCGTGTATACTTAATATTCGTTTAGATAATTTAATACAATAATACAACGAAATTTACAAATTACAATCTACACTAGTTACGTTATATTGTATTCATTTTGCATTAATATGATCTATAGTGAAGCAGTTTCGCGATCGTCGCCATTTGTACAGTCAAATTATTACTTCGTAATAAAAAGGGGGTCGGATAAGAGAAAAAAATAAACAAAGTATCGAATCGTCGACAACGAAATAAAACAAAAAAAAATGAAAAGTTGAAAAAACTCGTATCTCCTTCTCCCTCTCCCGTTTACGTCCAGTAGTCGCTCGAAAGCGGCGCGTAGGGTCCGTGCGGATAGGGCGGCGCCGAGGACGCGTCCACCAGCGACTGTGCCGTCGGCGTCTGGACGGCCGCGGCCGCCGCTGCGGTCGTCCAGTCCTTGTAGCTCGCAGCGGCGTGATGATGCGCAGCAGCGGCCGCCGCGGCGACGTTGACGTTGACGCCCGGATGGTGGGCGCCGGCGCTCGGGTGGCCGAGGCTGCGATTCAGCAGGAGGCTGTTGTAGCTCGCCGCCGCTGCCATGTTGTGATGATGGTGGTGATGGTAGTCGTGCACGGATCTGAGGATGAAAATTGGATGGCGAATGAGTATAGGTGTCGCAAAATTTTTAGATTTATCCAGTCAAATTTATTAAAATAAGCGATACGCTGGACAAAATAATAATTAGTGGGACGTTTCGTAGATACATGTTTATCTTCTCGAGCACAAATGATTTTATTTCTCAAGTATTGATTATTTCAATAAATTTGACTGGATAAATGTAAATGTAAAGATTGTTTTCAATAATTGTGTTTTTTTTATTTATACAAATAAATGTCACCCGAGTTGCAGTTTTGTATCAGAGTAATTCCTCTATACTTACAAAATAAGACTTCCAACACGCTATTTGGAATAGATAATTTTTGTAAATTATCAAAAATATTGATAGAAAAAAAGCCTAAATTTCAATTTTTTCATTTTTTATGTGTAAAAAACGTAAATTTTTCATTGCAATCTGCTTAGTGAATTCAAGACCCGGAGTTCAGGTGAGTCAACAAATGTTAAATTATGGGCAAGTTTTTCTGGTTGGGTTCATTATTTTCATTATCGCAAGGACATTCTGTCTACGTCAACTATGTAAAGTAAGTGAGAAATTTTCGTTGTTGAAAATATCGAGTTTGTTTGGAAAATATCCCAGAAAAGTTCCAAATAATAATTATACTCTATTATAAACTAAAAATGTTCTAATCTAAAAGTGAATAAAAAAAGGATGAGCCTGTGGAGATTTCAAGTCCACACGGCGATCGTCTTTTTGTTTACAAACAATGATAAATGTTATTTTCGATTTTCAATCATACCATACCAAGAAGACCTAGCTTGAATTGTGTTTCGATGAAAAAAGTCACGCGCCGAAAATTACCAAATTTTGAAAGTGCAGAGGAATTACTCACGAGTACGCTACGTCGATGATAATAATAAAACCCACTTACCGGGGATGATACTGGGTGTAGTGCGGATGCCAGGGGTCGGCCGTGTACTCGTAGACGTCGTGGTGGCTCTTCCAGAACGAGGCCGGGAAATTCCTCGCGATCATCGGATTGTTGTTGTCTGCAAAATGAAATTCTTCCATTGCGATTATTCGTCCGCACCCCACGGCCACGGTTGAAAACAAAAAACAACAACGATAAAAAACAAAAAAATAACAACCGATAATAATAAAAAAAAATAATAATATTATACCTAACGGACCTTTGAGCTTGTCCTGGGCCAGGGCGCGCTGGAAGTGCTCGTCGACCTCGCTGGCGGCGTCGCCCCGGTAATGCGTGAACACGACGCAATTGGCGTTGACGTACTGGGCGCGGCCCTGCGACGACTCGCCCTGCTGTTGCTGCTGTTGCTGCTGCTGTTGCTGATGATGATGTTGCTGCTGATGCTGCTGATGCTGTTGGTGATGCTGATGATGGTCGCTCGAGTCGTCCGTGTTGGCGCCGACTGCGTGACCCGTCGGACAGAAATTATTATACAACATGGTCGCATCCGTAGGCGTCGTCGTCGTTAGCGCGTTATCGTCTTGGTCATGCATGCAGGTTACATCGAGCTCGGGGGACGACGAAGATAACGACGATTGCCAGGAGGAGTGACAGGAGGATAGAGACGATTGTGTGGATCGACGTCGTTGTCGGTCATGGTATCGGTAATAGGGGTGGTAGTTGTGATTCGCGTCCCGCGGGCCGGCCATCGTCATCATCATCGTGAGCTTACCATCGGTCGACCTGTCGTCGTCGAGGCTCCGCGGCGTCTGGGCCGACGATGACAGCGACGGCCGATGCTGCTGCTGTTGCTGTTGTTGTTGCTGTTGCTGCTGCTGCTGCTGTTGGGAGGTTTGTCTGGGCGAGGCGGGACTCGGCGCCGAGCTGAGGGAGCCGGCGTTGCTGCTCGACTGGCCCTGGGGCACGGCGCTCGAACTACCGCCTCCTGCGCTGCTGGACTGTTGTTGCTGCTGCTGCACGGCCGAGGCTGCCGCCGCCGCTGCCGCTGCCGCTGCCGAGGCCAGTTCCAGGCTTGCGCTCTCCAGCGATCTTTGGTTCACGTTCAGCTGTGAGATGGATTGGAGAAAAAAAAAGATTCGATTATGTGAGCTTTTACACGTGTGTGCGAGTAATTTATATGTACATCGTGAAAGTTATCGGACAAGCTTCAATAATAAAACTCTGACAATATATTTAATGAATTATAGTTGAGGATTGACATATCTCGACGATATTCGTTAAAAATTGCAGTACGAAGTAGTTGACTTGATGGATTTTTTAACATCTCCAGGAAAATCTCGTTTAAAAAACATTTGGGCTTTTCAAGCGATCGAAGTATACATATTTTCTATCGAATGTAAATAAACAAGGTGTGCTGATGCTGCTACTTTATACCCCAAGTTCATCCTATAAAGCGCAAGCATAACTTTCACCGCGTCGATACGTGGCTTTTTTTTCAAACGATAAAGCATCGAAATTGTAATATACGGGACTCTCGTCGGCACATTGGCGCATGCATAAAAACATAAATAACGTCGACGAGACGGTGAAAATCTTGCGAGATTCATCTTATTTCTACGCTTCCGACCCTCCCTCTTATCGTATACTGGGACTAAGGCTTTTGGAACTTCGGACATCGGCTAACCGAAATAAACGTTAATTTTTTAGCAGCCGCGTTAATATAATTTTTATAAGAGTAACGAATTGCAAAATCATCTGCATAAAACTGTAAACTAACTCTTGCGTCTTTATCACCAAAGCTTACTAACCATTTTTTTAAAAACTTGATCTCCATTTCTTCTCTTTTTTACACCTCGATTTGCAATTAAAAATAGCAGACTGTTGTTATATCGCTTCTTTCTGATAGCATTTTATGAAGGGTTGAATACGGAATATTAAGTTTCACAGCCGCTCGACGTTTACTGAAAGATGAAAACTCGCTATCGTACTTTTTCAATAAATTGAGCTTGTCTTCGATGGATAAATTATTTCTTTTACGCATGGTGAAAGTTTCTTGTCTGCTACGATGTTTAAAGATCGATGCCGAACTCAAATCTGATGTAAATGTTTACGTTAATGAATATTTGTATATGATTTCCAAACTATATGTTTGGCCTAATTAACCGGCAGAGTGTCCATCATAATCGACTTATTTTACGTGAACGTACATATTAAACGGCTGGCCATATTATCCATGGACGCAATAAGCGGATTCCACTGCATATCCATACCTATATTCTCTCGACCTTTCTCTTTGCCCTTTTTTTCTCCGTAATTTTTTCCCCTCTACATCAAAGCCAGCGATATATTTCTTTTATTTTATTTTATTTTTTCATTATTTTACCGTAATACACGGGGACCCGGGAAATAAACGAAAGAATTAACGCGCTCAATGCTCGCAATATAAAGCCTCCCTCCATATCCCTCCGCGCCTCGCTCATTGTTGCCGCTTCGATATGCCGCTTTCGTGCGCCGCGTGCCACGCGAGAGAGAGACGGAGAGAATTTCACTCTGTGTACTGCGCTGTACGTCCCTCGGCCTGTATAGGGCGGCGGCACAAACTGTGCGGAAGCCGAGTCCATATATCCATCTATCTCTCGACTGTGCGCGAACATGGCAGGGAAGCAAAAGAGATAGGCGAGTAAGAGAGAGAGAGAAAATGAAAGACGAATTTCACCTCGAGGGGTTGTAGACGACGACGACGACGTTGTCAAGACGTATATACCATAGGCACAAAGGAGATTCCGCAATTTTCTCTCTCTTTCTTTATCTCTCTCTTTCTCAACCCCAACTTTTCTTTGTCCGAGAGTACGCAAAATCATCATCGTTGTCGTTGTCATCAACCTCTCGTCTCTCGCGCGAGAAAATTGACAAAATGAATTGTTTTCTCTCTTGACTCTCTCGCTCTCTTGTCGACCTTTATGAATGCGAAACAATCGTCGTCGTGGGTCGAGCTTTTAATCCTCGAACGCGTCGATTATGCCGTTATATCGTCGAGTAAATTCGTACAACAGAAAAAAAATTCACCAAGCGATAAATTTATAATATAATAAAGTATAGTAAATTGCTCGTGTGCGGCCACGCACATATTCTGGCTTTCTCGCAATATTACATTATATTGTGCTTTATAAATTCGATGTTATAGATTATCATCATCTGTGATTAGATCGATTCGATTGTTTTATTTTGCCTTTGCGTCACGTTATATGTATATCGTGTATTAATGTACGTATATACACGCAATTTTTGAGCACGCATATAATATGAGCGATCTGCCAAAGCAATCGGAAGCGTCGCGTCTCGCACTTGTCCGTGAAAGAAGATCGTGAGAGATGATATGCCTATAGTATCCGATATGCGCGATAAGGTTCGAGGTCCATCTATAAAGTAATGTATACATCGCTAATCACTATTATTAGCACCTTTTGAACGGTGCCTAATCGAATCGCTCGCGCCATCTACGTCAATCCAGAAACCGATTAAAACTTTATATTATTTCAAATTCAAAGACCCAATTATCGACCATTCACTTCTTTTCATATGAGAAAAAATAAATAGACAGTTACATTTGTATTTAAAAATTTAATTTAGAGGTAAAAATTTAATAAGCATGTGTAACATAAAAGGGCCCATTTTACAACGCAATTATATCAAGAAATGTTAAAATTACTTTCGCGCATTATGAACGGGGATCGCCAGACGTAAGTTTCGGAACTCTGACGTTCGGCGCCACCAGTACTTTTCGCCATAGAGTGCAAGCGTAGAGTTTGCCTCAAACCAACGCTGAATGTATCGTCCAAGGAGCAGTATCGCGAACACGAAATCACCTCGCTGATTCACCTCGCTAAAACTAAAGTAAAATAAATACAAACTAGTGAGTAAGTTCGATCGCTTGTGAGTAAGGAACTGAGATCGTGCGCTGTGCAGTAAGCGAGTGTTTACGAATTTCCGAATTCGAGGTATACAGTGTTATTATCTGCTACTCGAGGCATATAAACTCAAATATTTTTTCTTAGTATACGTCTTGCAAATTCAAAGTGAATATACGTATAATAAAGCCAGAGAAATGGAAAGCAGAGAGGGCATAATCAGGTATTACATTTTCTTTATCAGGCGATGATATTTTTTTGAGCAATTACTTCATTTTTTTTAGGGTAAAGAAAGAGCCGAACGATGATGAGTTTGATTCTGTGGATTTTTGCGAAGTCAAACCATTTAAAACATTGCCGTTTCATGAATTGGCGGTAAGTTCAATGATTTGATTTATCTCTAATTTTCCATACATCGAAAAACTATAGCCAAATTTTAATTTTAGGCAAATAACACGAATGAGTTTATGGCGTCGCAGAGAAAGTTGGACGAAAATATATCCGTCGATTTTGAGTGCAAAGATGTTAAAGACGAAGTGCCGTCTATATTAGCTACCGTCTGTAAAACTGAGAATCGAAGTTATCCACCAATCGTAAAAATAGAAAAGGTAAATCAGACCAACGATATGGAAGAAAAAATATTGATTGATTTTGAGTGCAAAGACGTTAAACTTGAAATTAAGCCTTTGTCAACAAACACTGTAAAAACTAAAGATTCCGAGAAATGCAAAGATGTGAAAATATTCAGAAAAACCTCTCAAACCCAATCATCTAATGATTGTGAAGTGAAAAAAACTTATAAAGAAAAAATGAGTTTAAAAAGACACATCAATAAGACTCATAAGAGCATTAGACCACATGAATTTGAGATTTGTAATAAATCATTTCTATCCAAGGGTAATCTCACTAATCACATAAAAGTAGTGCATGATCGTATCAAACCCTTCAAGTGTGAAATTTGTCACAAATTATTCGGACAAAAGGGTAAACTCAATAGACACGTAAATACAGTACATAACCGGATCAAACCCTTCAAATGTGAGATTTGTCAAAAATCATTTGGACTAAAAAGTACCCTCGATAGACACACAACAGCAGTACATGATCGTAGCAAACCCTTTGAATGTGAAATTTGTCAAAAGTCATTTGGAGATAATGGTACCCTTAATAGACACATAAGTGTAGTACATGATCGTAATAAGCCCTTCAAATGTGACATTTGTCATAAATCATTTGGATATAGCAGTAACCTCAAAAATCATATCATTGCAGTACATGATCGTAATAAGCCCTTTGAATGTGAGATTTGCCACAAATCATTTGGACAAAAGGGTCATCTTAAATTTCACACGAATACAGTACATGATCGGAATAAATCCTTTAAATGTGAGTTTTGTCTCAAATCATTTGGAGAAAAAGGTAACCTAAATTCTCACATGAATCACAAGCACGATCGCAGCAAAGCATTCGAGTGTGAAATTTGTCACAAATTATATGGATTAAAAAGTAATCTCAAAAGGCATATTAGGACAATACACAATTGCAGAAAATGAGGAGCGCAAGATTTTTTCGAAAACTTTTGGAAATAATGAAGACTTCTGCAATCACACGAATAAGCTGTGTACTTTTGAAAAATCTATCACTTGAATATCCTTTACTTAAGTATATAACAAATAAAATATTTCAAACTGCTATTCGTTTGTCACGACAAGCTTTTTTTTCACCTTGCTTGCAGTTAATAAAAGCATATAAACAACATTTATCAAGTGCCTAATGCCACGAAGCAAGAATATCGTTAAACTTTGCCCCCTGAGCTGAGGAGAAAACGTTATGTATTCGATTAAACATAAAAACAATAAACTAAGAAGGTCAATATTGTTAATTTTTTTCACTTTATTTATTTGAATGTCATGGACATTTACATAACTTCTTGGGGTATTTTTTAACCCTGACAGGTCTTTTTGTATTACATTGTTCTATAGTCACTACATTTTCTTTACTGTCCTTTTTGTTGTTTTCGACGGTAGCCGCCAAGCAAATATTATATAGATCTTGATTCATCAACCCATCGATGATCATTTCACACATTTCAAGTGGCAGCCGATAGTGAATCAATTCCCAGAAAGGATAGATTGCCTGACGTCTGAAAAATCTTCTCCACGTTATCTCGCACAGGTGCACTACACATGCTCCAGGGACAGTATAGTCGACCCACCCGGGCAGGAACTGAAAGTAACCGGTGCATCTGATTTGTTCTTGAACCTCCTCGGGTCGCAACTGAATCAGGTCGCCGAGCGACAGACTCGGACCTATCAACTTGAACCTTTCCTCGTATCGTATGAGCTCCTCGTCGTCGCGCCAACATTTTTCAAAATCCGCCGACTTCTCGAAATATCTCCAACGGGCAAAATGTTTCATTATGAGCAGAGCTTCGCTTCGTTCCAATTGGTATCCTCTTTTCTCGAGACATTCTACGATGACTAAAAGGTTGGATACGTGGAAGAATCTATTATAAATGGAGTTAACCTTGCCAAAATAATCCTCGGTGGGAAAAACGAAGCTGGATAAGTCGGCCCCGTGATCCAACAGACTCTCGACCATCTCCGGATAGAAGTTCGCCACGGCCCATTGGAGTGGTGTCCGACCCAAATTGTCCTTGGCGTCGACCTGCAGCGTCTGATTCAACTCGTCGTTGATCGTGAAATATGGCCTAGCAAAGTCTTCCTTGTTATTCAGGTTTCTCTTGGAAAGTAGGTGCAGTGAAGTCGATCCCTCCGCATTGGCCGAATTCGGATCGGCGCCTCTTCTCAGCAGCGATTCGACCGTCTTGGGTCTGCTAATCATTCCTTTGCCAAGAGCCAAGTGCAATGGCGTATTACCGAAATTGTCTCGAACGTCGATCGGCACGAGGTGATGATTCGCTTCGCAGGTCTCCAAAAATATTCTCATAGAGTCATCATCCCTATCAGAGTAAACATGTTTCTGTAAAATAGCGTGCAGAGTCGTCTGACCGTTCTTGTTGATCGATTTCGGATCAGCGCCTCTGCTCAGCAGTAAGAGAGCCACATTCTTGTTCCATTCCAGAGCCAGGTGTAGCGGCGAATCGCCCGTTTCCGTCCAGACACAGTTGGGATCCTGTCCGAGATCGAGAAATTTCTCGACGACATCGTAACATCCGTACCTGCAGGCCACGTGGAAATGCGTTAATCCAGTTTCGTCCACGTAATTCAGGTCGTATCTGTTGTAAATTTTTAAAAGCTCATAAGATACTCCATAAGGATCTAAGTGCCGATATTTTAATAAACGATGCACTGGTGTTGTGCGACGCAAAATTGGCTTGCCGTCTTTATCGAGCCGCGGCTTGTCTTTGTAGCCGCTCTCGGCGATTACCTTGATAAATTGTACTTTCCATTCGTTGTCTGATAAACGTTTCCCGTCTGTTGAGGGATTATAGTCCATGACCTCTGCTAGAATATATTCAATTTTTTCGATTTGAAAGATGACCGGTAAGTCTGAAAAGTTGCCTTTCCATTTGCTCATGAAACCATGCAGTCGACAGGAAACCTTATATCGATCATATCTTTCATGCCAATCGACATTTTTTAGCGAGCGAATGAAATTTTTCACAACCTGCGACACATGGTTTTCGTCAATGTCAATGACTTCGATTTCGTTGTTGGACGCGCACATGGTTTTACACACTCACAGTTCAAATTCACTCACGAACACACAGACGCGTACAATTCAAGATTTTTAGTTTCTTTTATTCACACTGCGCGCGCGTGGCGGGTAGACGGGTAGCTGCGGCGAGTATCAAAAAGTAGACTGGCCAAAAAGTAGCGATTGGATGACACCTTGGCTTAGATGATAATTACAGAAAGTGAATATCTTTTCACCCCTGCAAACGAAAAAGAAGCTACAGAGACGCACAGAGACGAGAAAATTGAATCAACCGAGAAACCTTATTTTTCAGATGCGTTTACTTTGGCTCAACGAGCTATATGTACAGAATGGCGTTAGCTAGTCGAGACTAGAGAGCTAGAGAGAGAATGTGTCGTTTTTTCAGCTTTCACTTTTGTCGCTCATCAGTGACCGACACAAAGCGATCAGCAGCAGATGTGAGCGCGAAGTTCAAATTCGTGTAACGATGTAAATTAACAATTCTTTAATAAAATTTTGGCTTTATCTCCCATACGCAACGCTCGTATATATAGAAGTTTCACGTCAAAAAACAAAAAAAAAATGAAGAATAAAAGTTTAAGCCTGGCGTCTGCGTACGTATCGCACACACACACACGTATATAATACAACGTCCGGGTTAAGATAGTTGAGATTCCTTCTCGTGACTTAATTTGCTCTTTCTCTCTCTCGTTTTCGTGTATATAGATATATAAGCGCGAGGCTATACGGAGAGAATCTCTCGCGGCATACGCCTCGGACGGAGAAGAAGTTTATAGAACGCAGCAGCAGCGGCACGAGCTTGCGCACTGCACGCCCTTACTGTATAATATAATCGCACTTGCAGGTAATTGCTTTTCTATTATTGCGCCTCGTTGCGCCTATTTTTTCACATTATTATATAGTCGATAGAGGCTTGGTGGTTGATGGTCACATAATATCTTAAAGACAAAAATTGACGAACTCTTGATTTACTTTTCTAACGCGAATAAATAAAAAAAAAAAAAAAATAGAAACAACTCGGCGCTTGAAAACAGATATCATGCACAGACTCCATATTATTTCAACACCAAAGCTCAATATACTGTCGCACGTTATAACGAAATGCTATGTATATACGATCGAAAGCTGCGGACTCGAAAGCTGCGCGTACGGGATGGCTGCGAAGGGGGTGTGGTGTGGTGCCCGGCGCCCGTTTCTGCCATATATACTACTACAGCCAACGTTTATTATATATATATATACGCGCGAGGAGCGGGGGACTCTCCCCCCGGTATTATATACAGAGCATATATAGGTATATATAGGCAGGCAGCGAGGAATCCCCGAGCGCTCCCAGCAACGCCCCCGCATCGTTCGCCGTCCGTATGGAACGAAACCACCTCCCTCGCGTTTTGGCTCTATAGTGTATAGTGCTGCCTCTCTCTCTCTCTCTTTCTCCTGTCCATGCCTATACATATCGTGTTCGTCTCTCCGTACGTTATATTAGCGCATTCGCCTCTCCGATGTATACTCTCTCGACGACTCCGAACTGTTGTGCTGCTGCTGCTGTGTGTGTGTGTGTGTGTGTGTGCGTAAGTACGTACGCAGCTGCAAATAGCGCAACGAGAGCGATGCACGCCGCGCAACGAATACCGTGACGGGTCAGCCATTCCATGCGTATTATATACGAGGGCCAACTCTCTGTCTGATACAACCGTTGAATCGTGCACGGTCCGTTTCGAGCGACGACTCGCATGACGACCGCGGCGATGTTTCAACTTCGGCTTCGCCCGCATCGACGACGTATGTATTAGTAACGGCAACGGTAGTTTAAGTACGTGAAACACGATTGTATACTTGCGGTGCGCGAAACAGATGGTAATTTTTTTTGGTTTTAAATATAGTATTTATATGATTTGAAAGTTGGATATAAAAGCTCGATACCGAAGCAGCATCGACGATTGAGATATCGATTTTCTCGATGTTAAACGCACAATTATATATCGAACTTGCAATTATCGCGTGCATTCACACGCAGTTTTCGAGCGTTTTACAAGCCCTCTCTCTCTGAAGCAATTTCACATCGAGATAATTATATTAAATATCTATACGCGGCGCGGGGTGCCTCTGTAGATATATACACACAAGCCGAGGATAGTAGCGATCAGCGAGCGACGATCGATCCGCCGAGCTTCGATTATCGGACGCGCATAATCGCTCGGCGCAGGAAGAATATATTACACGCGCGCGTCCCCGCACGAGGCATCGGATCTCCAGCGCGAGATACTGTCCACACACGCAGCACTTACAGAGAATAGTATATAGAGACATATAGCTAAGAGAAGATCGTCGCATCGATCTCATGCGCTCGCTCGGCTTTTATAAGCCCGGCGCGCGTTTCTGTGTGTATCCTATATATCGATAAGATCTGCTCGCAGTGCTGTATATACAGCTCTCGGAGCTGTGTGCATAGTATAGAGTAGCTCGCGCGTCGTTGTTGTATTATTGAGCGATCTTTTCTCTCTTTATATAAGCTCACTCACTCTCTCTCTCTTATCGATAAAGATGCGCTGCGCGGAGAGCGAGCTTTTATAGATGTATATCTGTAACGCGTCTTTGCCGAGTAATTCGCGATTCCTCGTCCTTAAAAAAAAAAAAAAACTAAAAAATCCATCCGCCTCAGCCTGCAGTGTATACAGCACTCTATACTATAGCCGCTCTCTCTCTCTCTTCGCTTCGGCGACAATGCGGTAATTAATCCAAGTAGCGTCCATCTCTCTCTCTCTCTCTCTCTTTTTCCCTATACGCGAGGAGCTCGCATTGGCGCACTCCCGTATATTCCTGTATACGTATATACGCACGACAGAGAGTGAGAGAGAGAGAAACTTCGACTTTGTTTTTTTTTTCATCTTTTTGCTTCACGAAACCAAGCAAGAGAGAGAGAGAGAGAGGCAGCAACATCTCTCGCGAGCGAGCGCGCGGCCTATCTCAAAGCATTCCATTCGCGATGCGAAAGAGCAAGCGCGCGAGGTAGTAGTAGGGAGATTGTTCTTCTCTCTCTTTCTGCGTCTCGCTTGTGTGCTAGTGTATATATATGAGTATCCGTGTGCCTGTGCGAGTAGAAGGTGCGCGCAAGTGCACACACACACACACACACACACTGCTCGCGAGAACCCATATACAACCCTTAAGCCATGCGTTCGCTCTCGAGACTTTTCTCCTCTCCTCTCGCCTCTTGTTTATTTATTTTCATTTTATTTCATCCGCTGCTCTTTTTTTTTTTTTTTTTTCGTGCCCCCGCTTTGTGTTCGCGAACTTTCGCGCACACGTGAGAAAGCTGTAAGTCCGAAGCTCGCTTCGATGTATACAGATATATGCCTTTCTTGTGGGTGTTTTATCATCCACGCGAAGTGGAAAACTCGAGGGATGATTTCGATTTCCGAGTCAATGGGACGTACAGGAAGTGCCTCTCGTACGCGTACTCGCCCGAAAAATTAATGATAACTCGTTCGAGAGACCTTATCGATAAGTATACAAGTGCGTGGTGATATATTTAAAGGAACGTTAAACGACAATAAAAACTGAACTACGACTCGAGCGTGACTCGCGATACGTATATGTATTTGTAAAAGTATCCTTTAGCCGAAGCCTTTTTCCCATATATACACCCGAGAGCTCGTCGCACCCGCGAGAATTCGAGTAAGACTAACGAACGACACGGCTCGCGGCGCGGATAAGGCAGAATGTGTGTGTATAAAAGAGAGAGAGAAAGAGAGAGACTGGCAGAATCTCTCTCTGAGCAAGTGAAAGAGAGAGAGAGGGAGAGAGAAGTAACAAGCTTCCAGCTTGTGGCTCCGAGCTATACTCGCGCATATATATCTATGGCAATTTGTTTGCCGGACACGGGCTATTTATCCAGGCGCGGGGCCTCAGACGCGTATATATACTTACGTAGCATTAACGCGCTACTATTACTACTATATCCCCTTGTGCCAAAGACCGTATCTCGGCCGTTGAAAAATGAATTGCTCCGCGAGCGTATATAATGAGCGAAGAAAATCTCTGTTTACTGAAAAATTTTGAAAATTTGTGTGCGTATGTGCGTGTCTGATGTTGACATATCACATATATCTGGCCAAGAAATCGTCAGTTCGCGACAATCGCGAGTGTCACCAGACACACAGTGTCTGTAGAGTCGCTCGCGATCACGGACGTGTTCTGGATTTTCTTCGATATATACATATCATCGTTGCGCAAAAAAATGGCTGATAACATGCGCGTGACCTAAGAGTATCTCACGAATTTATATTTGAAATTAAGTAGCTGAATGAAAAATCCTTATTTCAGTTAAAAAACTCATCCTGCATAAGGTGCCAAACATGAAAATATCTTCTATACTGCTTTACCCTCGACGAAAAATTCGTACGAGAAGGAGATAGAGGAAGAGGGATATACAATCTCATAATTGTCCGACTCTCGAAGCAACTTGTAAATGGACGATATGGGCTAAAATGTTTTTTATTTTCGAGGCTTTTTGTTCACGGGGAAGCTATACAGACAAATCTAAATTTTTTGGCAAGCTATATCCAATAAATAAAAAGACAAAACTGACACGAGTCGAAAAAAAATTTATCAAGAGAATTTTGAATATCCCTATACAGTTGAAAATATTTTCAAAGTTTGCTCTCGTATTTGTTATTGTACTTTTGTATACACGCGTGTGCGAGCGCGGCAATACGACGAGAGTACGTTCGTGTAACCGTCAGTATCGACAGAGCCGCGATCGAAGTAAGTAGTATTCGTGATCGTCCATCGAACATCCAAAAGTTTCCAAATACATCGAGAAATGGAGAAATTACAGCTCACCAAAGAGTGCCTCAGCAAAAAAGCTCACGCGGACGTCGTTCTCAATTTGTGGAATTTTTTGGTCGTCTACAATATTCGCGCCAGCGATTTACAAGACAAAGTGGTCGCGACGGCCATGCTGAACGCGACGGCGAAAAACTCGGGAGCCTCGGCCAGCGACCTCGTGCGCACGGTACTCAGTTTCGGCTTCGAGGATCCCAAGGACCTGCGGCTGTATCGCGTGAATCGCGGCGTACTGCTCGTCGCTTGCGTCGAGCACGTTCTGCTGCCCGACACGATCAAAAATATATATCGAACGATCTACAATTGCGATTATCCGCAGGCGCTCAGGATGTACAACCTGCTGAAGGGTCAAGACGAGGATATTCCACCCGGAAAAGTGGCGGCTCAGCGAATCCTGCCGTTCTTCCATTGCGACAAGTTTTTGAAGGATCGGGTCTGCTTGCAAAGAATAAGATTGTATTTGAGGAGCATCACGATCGATGCCAAGGAGATGGACTTCATAAGGAGCGAAGTGATTAGATTGATGTGAGTAAATTTATTTTACTTTGAATATGTGATTTTACTTTTGAAATTTTGATTCGATTCGCAGTGAGTCTTGTGATGGAGATCTTTCTGAGTGATCGATCGATGTACCATGTCCCGCGGATTTTTAACTAATTGTCCACGAACGCCAAGGGTCGATCCACCGGTAAACCATGGATTTTCTCAACGTAATTCCGCTGACCAGATGGTACTAGAGGAAAATATCCGATTCGAATTTTCGACCAGAATTAATTTCAAAAGCTTGCTATGATTTTATGTTTGTTCAAATTTTTTTTAGAATCTCTTTAGAATTTTTTTTCAACTTTATGAATAAAATTGTACTTTTATAATATAGATGTAAAAATGTGCTTATTTAAAGAAAAAATTTGACGAATGACTTCATTTTTTTACATTCGAATCGCAAGTACCTGAATAAAATTAGCTCGATCTACTTAAAGAGCCATAAATAAATAATTGCACCAGAGACACGAGCATACAATATTATTATATTTCAAATGATTGTGTATATTATATAAAGAGCCGAGCAAAAAAAAATGAAGCAAAGTATGCGCCTTCTACGCTACTACTACCACTGCTGCCCTCGACGAAAAATTCGACGACCATCAAAAGGAGGAGGAGGAGACGCAGAGGAAAAGGGATAAAGTCGGATAATGGACGTCAAAGGCGGAACTTTTTCTGCCACTTTGCTCGGCGGAGAGGACTGCGTGGCTTGCGGAATTGTGGGAAATGCAGCTCGCGCGCGCGTGTGTAGTATAGACAGAGAGACAGTTCGCGAGGCAGCTCCCTGCGTGACCTTGCATACGTATACACTCCATACATCATGTGATTCGCGCGATCGGCCAAGAACAAGACATTAGGTTCTCTCTCGGCTTCTCGGTATAGACATTGCATTCTTGCGACCGAAATTTCAATTATTATTTCTCATCTCTAATGACATCGAGCTTCGTTAATCGATGAAATTTAGATTTCGCCTACGATAAATGAATCGAGGAATTTTCCCTGATTAATATTCATATACATCACGATTGTCGAGGATGCGCAACGACGACGGCGACGTACAGTAGTACACACGATATAGATCAATGTCGGCGATTCGCTTCGGCCGTCGGCTAAATTATGTAAGGATCGTCGGTGCACTACTCGCGATCCTTCCTCTAGCTTAACGAGTCTTTTATATTTTATATACGTTAAATTCGATGCATCGAGGCCAATGCAATAGAGAGCAGTGCGACGCATAGCGCGACCTCGAGTTGTGTATATGTACGCGCAAGCTCTCGCGTTGAGAGAAGAGAAAGAGGAAGGAAGGAAACGGAATCTCTGCTCGGTCGCGTGTTTTTTTTTATCTCAATCGCTCCGGGCGATTATTGTTTGTGTATATTTATTTATATATTTCTGTCGTTCGATCGATGCCACATTTTTATGGATCGATGCCGCGCGCGCGAGCAAGCATTAATTAATTATACGCGCATTCACATTGTGTATTATATTTATAGAGGAAAAATGAATCAAATCAAAGTCGATCGAGAGCTCGAAAGGAAACTAATGTAGTTTATCATATATAGCTTTCTTATTTGTACATCGAGTATTACATACCGACAAAAAATCCCTTATCGCGATTGGTTGAATTAGAAGTCGAATAGTAATAATTTCTACACGGGGATACCGATCTTATACGTATTATCGGGTCCCATTGACCCGATCGGTGAATTCCGCAAAAGACAGAGAGAGAGAGAAAGACAATACAAATATATCGTGTGAAATGAAGCAGCGGTATGCCGTGTTTCGGTTTTTTTCTCATCTACCTTCTTCGCCCTCTTCTTCCTCTTCTCTTTCCCAAAGAGGAGATCGAGGTGTACACACACGCACGTACATACGCACACAGAGAGAGTGGACAACACACGGAGTAGTGGCTAATATGCTCCGTATACGATGCAAATGAGGCCTGCAGCTACTTCGTAGGGCTATTCATTCGAGGCGCGAAGAAGAGGTAGCTTCTTCTTCGTCTTTATCTTTTTTTTTCGCGCACACAGCTACATCATCGAGTGGTACGTATACATATACAGCCGTATACCAAATACCGAAAAAGGAAAGGGCTCTCGAGGCGTGCGAAAAATCGTTTCGGGCTAATTGATTTTAGAAAACCGCGAGGTTATACGTAATAATAGTCAACTCTCTCTCGCTCAACGCGGCTGAATACGCATTGTTTTTCCCTCTTCCTGTGCCATTATCGCTTTATCCCGATATTTCATTATTACGTACATATTTTACGTATACATAAAATAAAATAGAGAAGCGTCGAGATCCCGGGCCGAGTATATAATATAACTATATTTAGTTAAGCGCGCGTAGATTTCGCGCCCGATAAAACACGCCGGTATTGTTTCGCGCGTTCCATGGTATATGTATATTAATTTATATATTGTCCCGGGCGCGTGGTTAATTAGATCCACGCGTACGTAACAATGCTCCGATGCATAATAATAATAATAATAATACTTTTATGTATCAAAAATAAATTAACGCTGGCACCAGGCTGGCTGGCGAGTCAATTACAGATAAAGCGAAAATATTTCCGCTAAAACGACTCTTTTATAACTCGCAGCAGCAGCAGCAGCAGCAGCAGCAGCAGCTTCCTGACAGACGCATTCACTTTTCCGCGAAATCGCAGCCAGGAAATATACAGATATACCCGTCTTTTTTCTATCGGCGCATTATAGAGAATTCCTCGAGAGTTGAGTGTGTATGCGTGTAAAACAAATCTCTGCCGCGGCGAGTGCGCGCATTTATATATATATTATAAAATGTATATATCGACGCTGCCGTTTCAAGAGTAAAAAGTATAAAGCGAAGAGAATGGGGCCTCGATGAAAACGCGCGCGCATTTGTACGCGTATATATGCTGATTAAGAGGCTCGCGCGATCGCCGATATATGTAAATAAATAACGACGGGCACGCGCCCCGGCAATCGACAAGATATTATATACGCTGAAAAAGATCAGCGTGTACTTGTGTACGCGGTGAAAGTATTATACCGATTGTATTATAATCTATATCGGGGGGAATTTTTTCCCCTGATTTTTCCGATCGACGGTAAAAATTTTCTGGTCGAAAATTTGAGCAACATATAACAATCGACGATGCTGAAACACTACAGACTTCACTTGTGACTTAATGCTGAAACATTACTTTTTCTCGTTTGGGTTTGCGAGGATTCGAACGTACGCCATCTAGCGATAACTTATGAATTACCGCGGGCCTGACTTAACATACATAGAGCAGTTACATCACAGCAGTGTTCAAGTTTTTAATCATAAATTCACACGTTTAACAAATAAATTTGCAGTTTATTTACTCAATTTTTCTCATGAAATGTATTGGTTTCAATAGTAATTAAGCCCATTTTAATATTCCAGTACAACTATGCATTAAGAGTACTTGAAACTTACGAATAATTTTTACTTCTATATAAATAACCTCGGAATGAAGATATAATAGCATGAAAACTTAATCTCGAGAAAGCAATATTATGGTGTTTGCGACGAGACACCTCGCCGACGATCCAAACAATTCGAAGCCCAGGAAAAATCGAACAAATTGTCGACGACGCCGTCGAGGACCTGCACTACTGCTCACTCGGACGAAGCATGAGAACGACAAAAAAAAAGAATAATAATAAAAGGACGAAGAAAAAAAAACCAGAGAGAGTGAGAAAGAAACGTTGCCGATGATCTAAGACGAGGCGGAATTCACTTATATACATTCGTACATATAATACGCGCTCTCTCTCTTGCGCGCGCGGAGACGATGGTTATAATGATGATTCATCATTGATATTTCCATCGTTCGCGCGCGAGTATAACATTCGCGCCAGCAGCAGCAGCAGCAATGATGTATCGAATCGTTATACATTATAATCGGACATTGGAATCGGCATCGCGAGGTAATAAATCGTTTCGCGGACGTATATTTGTACACCGAGCGATCAGCGCCGTCGCTTGTGTATATAGGCATGTGCATACTACACCGTTAAGAAAAGAAAACTTAAATTTAATGCAGATATTTGATGCAGAAATCGTGACATTACAATCAAAGCGAACCGATATCGAATTTTGACTAAGGTGCTCCTACATAAAATGTTATGGCCAAAACAAGTGGGAATATTCAATCATATACATTTTCAATTCAAAATTGTTATATTTTGATAGAAAATCAATGTTTGGATACTGTTAACTTTAGCGTTCGTTACTCAAAAAATGTACGAAAATTCATTAATAATTAAGGCTAGCGTCTACCGTTAGATGGCGAGTACCTTGATTTGTAAATCTGCAAGTGACATAGTCGAAATAACTGTACAAGTCAAAGCAAAATTTTATAAAAATTATACGTCATTTCATCAAGGTTAATATGGAAAATTAATTCGAAGGAGGTTCGAATTCACGCGTCACCGAAGCACGTAAAAAAAAAAACACAACAACAGCAAACAAACAAGCGAGATCGTGTTTACAATGGTCCCAAACGCTCTCGACATACCTCAGGAATGCCGGCGATGCTCGTTAAAAACATAGTCGGACGACTCTTAATACGGCTCATAAACGTCGCGCGATCGAGAGCGAAACTATAAGTCACCGCGAGGATCGATCGGATCACAATTATATACAGCTCGTGTATACATGATCGCTTTGCGCGCGCGGGGTACTGTTTTTTCCTTTGATTTCGATTAAACGGTAATAAGTCGTTGAATCGTTGCTTGTATCGTTGCCGTCGATCGCCGCTTAATTATGCAAATGTCGCGGCTCTATGCGCGTTGAGTAATCGGATGTGCGTGTATTTGTACTCGTATACGCACATCCGTATATCGGTCGCGAGCATCTCCGAAACTGTCGATCTCGCCGCGAATGACACTGCCTTTTTTTTATTATTAATGTATAACGCATAAAGAAGCGCATTAGAAACGCGATAATTTCCGAGGCAAAGGCACGCTAGAAGAATATAGAGGCAGAAAGAGAGAAGAATAAAAAATGACAGTCGCATACGCGATGACTAGAAATGCGCGCGCGGGCGCGGGCAATGGTACTTTTCGCGGATCATTATTCACTTCTGATAATCTTTTGTTTCATCTGAAGAAGAGCCCCGAGTTTGTTGCTCTTTTATATTTCTCTATATACGCTTTTGTACGCGACGTGACAGTACACGTTTCGCAGAGCCCGACACGAGTGCAGCCCGAAGTGACAGTGACGAATCGAGAGAGGCCCTCTCACGATGGCGCGATGAGCCAAAAGTCAACCCCGTTT